ATAAGGAAGGACGCTTTGGGACCAGCAGTTAGAGTAATGGCTATGTCCCTGAACTCCCATGTAGTCGGCCGTGGTTCGAGTCCTGGACCCAGTGTCTTAAACTCACGCGGGTGCGTGTGCATGCATACCCAAGATCCCTAGAAGAGAATGGAGGAGAAGGGACTGCGGTGTGGCCATTCCCCCTAGGGGGTGATTTCTTGCTTTCTGTCTCTTTCTGTCTGTCTTTCTGGTGAGTGCACGCACCCTATAGCAGAAAAAACTCCCCCAAAAAAAGAAAATAAAAAGAAGGATGCTTCTCTTGTCTAATGATTCTTGTCCATTTCAGAATGGACAAACTGATTTTGCCATAGATAGAAACAAAAACTTATTGGGTAATTTTGTTGTTGCTGTTGCTAGAGTACGTGTGTGCTATCAGAGACAGAGAGGGAGAAGAGAAAGCCCACCCCATGGTGAAAGGTGGTGCTGCAAACCCTGTTCTCCCATTTATCTCTCCTTTCAGGATTTTGAGTACATATGTGCACATCCCGTTTGTTTTTCAAGACACCGGGTCCGGGAACCATGGGGTTGGCCATGTGAGATCTGGTTGTCCCAACAAGTAGGTCACGGAGCTGCCCATTTTTTCGGCTGATCTTTAAACCCCGTATTTAGACTCAATGGCCCTTAGGTGCAATTGTCTATACTCAAGCAAATGTTGCTTTCGGTAACTTTCAAGCAGAGCAAAAAAAAAAAAAAAAAGATTCTCACCTGTGAACTTCAGAAAATCAAACATGCCTTGTTGCAAACTTCGGTGCCCACAAAGCAAGAAATAATAAACATTCTACTTTTAATGTAACAGACTTTCCATTCCCCACCCTCACCCTAGGCATCTGCATACACAAATCAAAACCTTCTTAAGTCATGGAATGAATATCGAAAAAAAAATTTTTAAACCAAACAAAAAGCACTTCCTGTGGGGTGAATGGAAAGTTTTGCCCAGTTTATTTTCCAGGCACATGAAAAGCAGTTCTGAATATTTAAAACCACAAGTTTTTAAATACAAGTAATTGTACTCTTAACTGAGATTTTTGAGAACGCACGGCCTGGGAAGGATCACGTATAGGGGACTTTGACATAAAACACCGTTGACACAGAAGCAAGGCCCATTCCACTTTAAGATCAGATACCACCAATGTCCTACAAACCTAGAAGGGTGATGGTTGGAAAAAAGCAAACAGATTTGTATCAAATAAAAACACATGTACCCAGCTGAACTAAAGCTGAATTCAACTACAACTTGTGCAACTTTTGGCCCTTTGAGGTAGAAACATTGCACCTAAATTTTCTTAGGAAATCTTTCTTACATTCAGACACTTGGAAACTTTCTCTAGGACCTAAGTAGCTTTCCTTCTCAAAAATATGAAACCAAGGGAACCAGCAGTTAGCGTAATGGCTATGTCGCTGGACTTCCACGTAGTCGACTGCGGTTCGCGTCCCGGACCCAGTGGCTTAAAACTCACGCCAGGCGCGTGTGCGTGCGTGCCCAAGATCCTGAGAGGAGAATGGAGGAGAAGGGATTGCGGCGTGACCATCCCCCCTGGGGGGTGATTTCTTGCTTTCTGTTTCTCTGTCTCTCTCTGTCTGTCTGGCGAGTGCACGTGCCCTATAGCGAAAATCTCTCAAAAAAAAAGAAACCAAAAAAGTATTTTTTCTAGTAATTTCTGGCCTGTTAAAAAATGACTAGTGGTTAGCGTAATGACTATGTTGCTGGACTCCCACGTATCGACCGCGGTTGAAATCCCGGACCCAGTGGTTTACCATGGTTAAACTCATGCCAGGTGCGTGTGCGTGTGTGTCCAAGATCCCAAGAGGAGAATGAAGAAGGGATTGCAGCGTGGCCATGCCCCCTAAGGGGTGATTTCTCACTTTCTGTCTGTCTGTCTGGTGATCACGTGCGCCCTATAGCAAAAACCTGTCAAAAAAAAGAGGACTAGCATTGTGAGTGTAGAATAGGACCTAGGCCTATGGAATCCTGAGTTCCATTGTCTGAGTTTGGCTTGTGTCTATCGATTATCAGCTAGGCTAATTACTTGATCTCTCTAACTCTCGGTTTTCTCATTTGGGAAATGGGAATATCAATGAGATCCACCTTAGAGAGCTGCTGTGAGAACAGAATGAGATAATATGTGTGAAGCACAGTGTCTGGCACATAGTATGTGCTCAATAAATACTCATTATGAGGGCTTCTGCCTTTATTTCCCTCTATGTAACTGTAGCTGAGCTCTAGAATTTGTGGCAGCTTTTATCAAATGAAGTTAAAGTTTTCTAGCTTAGTTTAGAGCCAGGCCACAGCTAGATTTGAAAAAGTCAGTTATTCTCTCTGCCTGTCTGTTTCCTGCAAAGGGACTCCAGCCCAATGCTGGTAGGTCTGGAAGTGTTTCTTCTTGAAGCTGTTGAGGGTTATAGTGGGAAGCAAAGGGAAGATATCAAGGTAGTGAGTTCCCTAGTGAGGGGTCCTGGGGCCTAGTCTCCATTTGTCAGGCAAATCCAGCCCCTCAGAAAGTTTCTTTCATAGCCACTGCTGCAACTCAGGAGCTCTATAAAGAGTACCTGGGGAAGCTTGGGCAGGTGAGGAAATCATGCACGATCCGCCTCCTCACCAGTATTCTTAATTGCTGCTCTACAGCTCCAGCTAGGATTTGGGTGTGGACTCTAGACTGTAGATGTATACCATGGTTGCCCTGCCTGACTGGTTTCTGCTTCTCACTTGGATGTGGTCTCTGCAGGCAGGACAGTCACTCTCCAGAAGCCCAGCCTGACTCCAGGATCCTGGAAGCCAGTTTAGGCTCTTAGATAGATAGAAGGATCAGCACGCCTTAGCACAACTGGTTCCACCTGCTTTGGTTGAGTCAGGACTATGGAGTCAGACTCCCCAAATCCTAGCACTGACACTTTAACTATGCGAGGTTTCAAAGAGTTCATGGAAAAATCAAATTAAAGTATGAGTTTAATTTGGTGCAAAATTTAGTAATCCATGCATTATTTTTCAGTCATATCTATTTGCCATGAGCTTTTTTGTGCATATGAGGGCTTTGAGATACTTTGTCTCTCTCTTCCTCAGTTTGACTCATCCATAACTGGGGAGATTAGTGGTGTCCACTTCATAGGATGGTTAAGAGAATTAAATGAGTTAATATGGGGCCAGCAGGTAGTGTGGTGGGTAAGGTGCTGGACTCCCACATGGCTGACCATGGTTTGAGTTCTGGACCTTAGAACTTTCTCTGTCTCTCTGGTGAGCACATATGCTCTATAGCAAACTAAAAAATAAATAAATAACATTTATTTATTTATTTATTTATTGGAGAGATTTTTGCTATAAGGTGCATGCACTTGGCAGAAAGACAGAGAGAGACAGAGAGGTAGAAAGTGAGAAATCACCCCCCAGGGGGATGGCCACACTGCAATCCCTTCTCCTCCATTCTCCTCTCAGGATCTTGAGCATGCACGCACATGCACACGGTATGAGTTTAAGCCACCGGGTCCAGGACTCGAACCACGGTCGACTACATGGGAGTTCAGCGACATAGCCATTACGCTAACTGCTGGTCCCAATAAATAATTTTTAAAAAACTAATTACTATACTATAAAATATAGTGATATAAAATTTTACATACAAATAATTATTTATGTAATATAAATATATAAGCATAACAGAAATCTAACATTAGCTATATCCAAGTATATGTATTATATATACTTATAATTATTAGATGGTATCTGCACTTGTCAGAGACAGAGAGAGAGGCAGAGAGACAGAGAGACACAGAGAGAGAGAGAGATAGAGCACTTCTTAGTGAGGTATGTGATTACTCTGTAATCCTTTCTGCTCCATTTCTCTATCTTTGTGGAATTTGGGGCATGCACGCACACATGCCCAGCATGTTTTGAACCTCAGTTTTCCATGTGGGATTCAATCACTCTATTCATAGCATATTTTATGTACAGTAAGTACGATTTTTATATTTAATTTTATGTATGTTTTACATTAAGATGTATCATCTTATATAAAACATTTACATCTATATAAATGTAATACTATTGTTGTTGTAATTATTGTTATTGTCTATCTCCTTGCAGGGGTAGAGAGACCAGGCTTTTTAACTTCCTTACTCTCTAAACCTATAGGTACAGAATCTCTGGTTTCTGCAGATTTGTTGTAATATAGAGAGCAGGGTTTAAGACAGTTTAAAACTGACCCCACCATTTGGAAAATTATAATTTATGATGAATGTCATATGAATATTATTCCTCAGGTATTTATTATGTACCTCTCTCAGATTTTTAAATTGCAATTTCTGTAATACTTTTATTTATTTCTTGTAATATTTCAAAGGCTTTCTCACCTCTGGAGCAAATAGCATGAGATATAAATGTGTCAAAATGTATGTATCATTTATCATACTGGTACTTTTAGATTCTATTATCCCAACAACTTTGATTCAGAGATATAGGGTGGTTCTGAAGTAGAATAGTCATTGTTTAACTTGTTTTATTGGAACCCAGACTAAGCGTAAAGTTTTCCTCTTCAAAAGCATCACTAATTCATGGGAACCAGCAGTTAGCGTAATGGCTATGTCGCTGGACTCCCATGTAGTCGACCGTGGTTCGTGTCCCGGACCCGGTGGCTTAAAACTCACGCCGGGCGCACATGCGTGCGTGCCCAAGATCCCCAGAGGAGAATGGAGGAGAAGGGATTGCGGCGTGACCATCCCCCCTGGGGGGTGATTTCTCGCTTTCTGTCTCTATGTCTCTCTCTGCCTGTCTGGCGAGCGCACGCGCCCTACAGTGAAAATCTCTCAAAAAAAAAAAAAGCATCACTAATTCATGTATTAAGCACTTAACCCCCATAAGCAAGAATGCCTCCCATGTGGCCATTGACATCAATGAAGAGATATCCCTTTGACTTGACGGTAAGTGTGACACTACATCAACTCCCACAAAACCCACTTCCTTTCCAGCAAATAGAAAACAACCGAGAACATGAATCTGCTGTCAGCTTTGGACCCTGAAGGAGAGGATTGCCTCTGTTTCTGACAAACATGAAGGCAGACTTCTGGTATTTCTTTCTCTTCTGCTTCCAAATTGAAGTTCTAACAGGTAAGTGGCCTACTGAATATTTCTTTTAAGTTATACTTCACGTGAACATTAAGATAAATTAGGCACTAAATGGGAAGTGGTTTTGTTTTTTTGATAGTAGGCACCATTTCAGAACAGCCTAAGCGCATGGCTCAGGGCACTGTGTCACCTCTGTCCCTGTACATGGCATTGAGTTTGTATTGCTGCCTTTGATACCCTGCCTGAAGATGAAAAAGGTGTTTCATCAGCCCATTAAAGTTTTAAATGACCTGCTTGGAGTTACCTGTCAGTGGATACAGTAGACGTGTGACTTTCTGTTCTTAGAGAAAGATGAAAGGCAAAACGACTTGTGTCAACAGAATGAAAATTAAACAGTCCTGGTATTTAGGCTGGGAATTCTTACCATGATGAAAAATAAAGGGGAAAGACTTCAAAAGGAAGTATTTTGATTTTAATCTTACCTGGATTGTCTGTTGTCTGAAACGCCTAGGCTGCCGCAGAGTTTTTATTGACACGAAGCTTTGGGGTCTTCCTAAAAGGCCAAGGAGGAATGAATAAGATAAAAATACACCTCAGCTCTCGTGCACATTAAAAAAAAAGGATTCTAGAGTTCTGGATTTTGTCCCTTGGCTAGTATACATCAGACTCTATATGAACAAGAAAAGTAATGCTACCTACAATGTAAATTAATATACGTGTTTCTGTTGCTTCCTACATTTTAAAAAATTTTCTTATTTTTTGCATTAACTCTGAGTCCTGGTCTTGAGGCTAAGAAAGTCACAGTGAAATTATATTAGATGGAGACATTCTAGTAATACTAAAAGCAAAGAAAGAATTTTAAGTAGGTACAAGTTCATCTGGAAATAAAGTTTTCAGTGGTACAAATAGATTTTGTGTTTTTTTTTTCTCTGAAAAAATTAAAAAGAAAACTGAAGTAAGATTGATCAAATGTTTGATTATTTGCTGGTATAAAGTCACTCAAATGCTAAGTAAAGAGTAATGAGAAATGGAGAATTAGGGTCTACTTTTAATAAATCTCAAAGGCAGTTTTAGGCTACTTCCTTGCTTACTGATGCCTTTTCTACAACCTTATGGTGTCTTTGTTGAATCATGAACAATGTAAAAATAGCTTCAGAATTGATTTGATTCATTCATTCATTCATGGAGCAATGAGCACTTGTCAAGCAGGAAGTACTGTACTAGTTGCTACATGTACAATGAGTTAAAACAGGTGAGTCCCATTCTCTTGAACGTAACTGGGTGGTAGGGAGAGACACATTAATCAAATAATCCCATGAATTAATGATAATTATAGGAAACATTCAGTTCAATGAGATGCCACCAGCAGCCTGACTAGACTGAGTGGGTGTGGAGGTGGGTTTGGGAAGCAGCTTTGTCGAAGTCTTTTCTAGGAATTGGCACTTGAGCTGAGATTTGAAGGGCATGTAAGCGACAGTGGGAAGAATGGTATGAAGAATATTTTACACCAAGGAAAGTGTGAGTGCAGAGGACCTATGGCAGGAGGGAATGAGGTAAGGTCAGGGAACTGTAAGAAGGCAGAGTTCAAAGAGACAAGAGGGGAGGGTACAATGTGAGGCTTGAAAAGAAAGCAGAGGCTAGACCATTCAGATCATACGGACTATGTTAAAGATTTTGGCTATTTTTCCAAGAACATTTGTGTACTTCATGGGAGGGCTTGCTTGCATGACTAAACTGCATTCCAATATATCATACCACTTGGCATTTATGGTAGTGGTATTGTGCTCAGGAGATTTGAATTAACGTTGGTGCTATTTCAGTGAAAGGATAGATTCAGCCTTAAGCAGGATTATTTTAAATTGCTGGACATAGCTGATGAATAAGTAGTATTTCTGAAAAAAAAATTCATCTTACGTTCTAAATGAATAAAAATCAATGTTCACTCTCATCACGCATAAAGACATGCCACATGGCATGCCATTTTCCTGTTTGACAGGTGACAAAGCTAAGGCACAAGTTGCTAAACATTGATAATACATATGCTAATGGTCCTCATCTTCAAAATATAACCCCAATGTATGAATTGGGCAACCTTAATTTTAAAACCAATAAACACAGATATCCAAACTCAACCTAAGTATTTGCAGGTCTTTTTTTGGGGGGAGGGGCGGGTCATGTTTTAAATCCTCCCAACTATGTAGACTTTTCAGGCTCTGTAGACCTTGGAATTTGTAATTTAAGTCAATGTTTGGATCGTCTCAGAACAGGACAGATCAAGTGATTTGTTACATAGTCATTGGTGGTAGAACCAAGATTAAATTTCTAACATGCCTAATTCTTTTTGTTTTGGAAAGGGTTTTTCTATAAAGCATGTGCACTCACCAGAATGACAGAGAGAGGCAGAGAGACAGAAAGTGAGAAATCACCCTCCCTAGGGAGCATGGCCATGCTGCAATCCCTTCTCCTCCATTCTCCTCTCAGGATCTTGGGCACACACGCGTACATATCTGGCGTGAGTTTAAGTCATGGGTCCAGGACTCAAACTGTGGTCAACTACATGGGAGTCCAGCAACATAGCCATTATGCCAACTGCTGGTCCCTTTAAAATGCCTAATTCTAATATTCATGTTCTTTTTTCACACCATATTGGAATAGAGAGATATAAGACTAATCTCAAGGCAGAGAAATTCTGAACAATTTTTTTTGTTTGGTTAGTAAATTAAGATTGGACATCTTGGTAGTCCTTGGTGGATTTTAATGTTGAATTTAACAAAGCCTTGTTTTTATAATGAATCTGGAACAATAGGAGACTCCTCATTGTAAAAGGATTTGGGAAAAATATGAACCTGTAACTGCATTGAAAAGATCCTCTTCATAGGCTATGGGCAATGGAGACTATGTAGGTGACCCATGCTGTGACTGTGAAACCAGTGTGGAGAAGGCAACAGAGTGGGATGGACTAACAGTAAATGGTGCCTAAAACAGGTGATGGCTCTTGATGTGTTCTATCAGGGAGCTGCTGAGATACTCCTCAGGTCCACTTTGAGCCTTGCTTTGTCACCAAGGCATTGAAGCAGTGATTCCTAAACTCGGTTACTTTGGGAGAAATAGACCCTTGGCATCTCCTACACCTAACCCTGCCCTGACCTGAGAGCAAAGTCTGCAGAGATGAGCTGGTGTTTGAGTTTCTCCCAACTTCTCCTGAGCATAAATGCTGCATAAATGTCTCCTGGTATCAGCTCCATGGCCCTTTCTGAGTATTCATGCTGGAGTAAATAAAAAAAATCCATATTGTCAATCTTTTGATAGATGAAGTTAGGCCATTGTCACTCAGCATGATACATCTATACTCAATTTTATTTCTCCAATATGTTATTGATTTACTTCTCATTTTCCTTTGTTGTCATCTCTCTTTCTTCTCCCTTTTTTCTTTTGTTGGTATGATGGAATTTCTTTTAATGTGTCTCTTTGCCTCTGGTAATTTAGAAAGTTGACTATGCTTCTCAGTCTACTAAGTCATTGTCATGTATAGAGAATATTAATTGAATGTTTTCTTAATATTAAAATAAATAATGATGATGTTCTTGCCTGATGTGACTAATCGCCTCATGCTTTAATATAGTTTATACATATTCTTCCCTTTTCACCTTTATACTACCCCCAGTTTGTGCATCCAAGGCCCATGAGTGAGTCTTGTTGAAGAAGTGTAAAGTTTATAGTTGCAGATCATATTTACTCTTATGGTATTTCTTTTCTGTTTCAATAATCCTTTCATTATACTTACATCTCATACATCCAGAGATAGGATCATTCTGGACATCTGCTCCTGTTTTGTGATCTCTGTTCTGATCCAATGATCAGAAGACTTCCATTATTTTCTTCAGCTACCTCTAACTTTCTGAATTTCAGCGCAGGGAAAGATTTCTTTCTTGGGCCAGCTCCTTGACCTGGTAACTAGGACAGCCAGATCCCACATGGCCAACATTGCATGGCTTAAGAAACGTGCTGGGCACATGTGTGTGTGTTTCCAAAATCCTGAAAGGACGGAGAAATGGAAGAGAAAGGATTGTGGTGTGACCATTCCCCATGGAGGGGTGCTTTCTCCCTTTTCCTTTTTCTCTGTTTTTGTCTTTCTCTGACAAGTACAAATGAAAAAAAAAAGATATTTTTCTTTTATTCTAATGAGTGACTGATATATTTCTTTTTCTATTTTTATTTCTATTTCTTCTTCTTTCTTTTTCTTTTCTTCTTCTTCTTCTTCTTCTTTTTTTTTTATTTGCTAATATTATTCCTGGCCTGCAATCTTTCCTCTGAGTAGTCTGTCGGTATTTATACACTGTCTGTAGGCTTCTAGGGTTCTGGCAACTAGTTCCGTGCTACTCTGATTCTCATTCCTCAGCAGGTAGTGCTATGGTTAAGGTGCTGGACCCCACAGTTCTAGTGCAGGGCTTACTTTCTGACTCTCTTTCTCTCTCTCTTTCTCATCTCTCTCTCTGGTGAGCGCCCATGCCCCATAGCAAATTTAATAAATAAATATAAAAAAATCATTTAAAAAACTCTAAAATTTTGTAATGTTGAAAGTTCTTCATTTTAATATTGGCATGCAGGAATTCACCAGAGTATACTAAACTCTCTCAATTTCTCTCTCTGAAAATTTTCATTAATTTTTCTTTAGACAGGGTGAACTTTTTTAATATGCAGACTCAAACTTCATTCTTCATTTCAGGAATTATTTTTCCCTCCATTATTCGTTTAATCTTTTCCTCTGTCCCCTCCTTTTCTTTCTATAAGTGCCTGTTACATAAGATTCTGAGTCCCTTATTTTTCATCATTAGTGAACAAAATTACTTTAATAGCTTACCTGAAAGGACGGAGAAATGGAAGAGAAAGGATTGTGGTGTGACCATTCCCCATGGAGGGGTGCTTTCTCCCTTTTCCTTTTTCTCTGTTTTTGTCTTTCTCTGACAAGTACAAATGAAAAAAAAAAGATATTTTTCTTTTATTCTAATGAGTGACTGATATATTTCTTTTTCTATTTTTAT